ACAATGAGTACTCAGGATCTTGTCTATAAGTAGATGTGTAGTGAAAGATTCGTATGAGTACGTATGTGAGTACTCAGTCATTTTACATATTCATGAATTTTTGAGAGTACTTGCTCGAGTAATTTGAGTACTCATGCTGGCAAGTCTTACTCTCTGGATGAGTACATTCACTAGGGGACTTTCTCTATCCATCAGTATCATAATTAAAACAATCGAATCTATTCCTATTTGCATTGGATGTTAACATCAATAAGCAAAAGATATTTTATTTTAGATAATTGAATCATGTTTTAGTCGATGTTGTGGACAACGAATATTTGGATGGTTCAAGGAACGAGAAAATTATTCACTTTATCTTTTTTCACCTTCGAATAAGTAAAATTTTTTCTGATAATAATTCGAACATGAACAATTTGTAACATTTAGTAGATTACGCAAAGTATTTCAACGATTAATTCTAGAAAAATTATTTGATTATTTGATTCTTTTTTTTATCGTTCTCAATTGTATTACACTGGCGATGGAACGTCCATCAATTTCATCTACAAATTTTGTATGGAATCATTGAGTTTCTATTTCTTTTTTTTTTGCACTGTAATTAAAAACGAACAATTAGAATTATTTTTTAGGAACGACAATTAATAAACTATACTAATTATATCTGTACAATTATTTTTATCATTGAAATGATGATTAAAATAATTGCAAGTGGACTTATTGTTGGATCAAATACATATTTACGTTCAGGTTGGAATGTTGTGGATGGATTTCTTGTAATTATTGCAATTATTGATATTGGTATTATGCATCGATATAAAATTACATCATCTCCACAATCTGATACGACATCAGATATTGCAGACATAGTGACAGTCTTTCGTTTATTACGAGCATTAATACCACTTCGAGGTTGGCAACAAATGTTTTTTATTTTCTTTTGATTGATTATCTAATTTTATCATTTTATAGTTATTAATCGAGCACCCGGTGTTAAATTTGTTGTTCCAATGTTATTGTCATCATTGAAAGCAATCGCCAATGTTTGTATTATTTTTAGCATATTTTTTATCATCTTTGGCATTCTTGGTGTTCAGGTAATAAAAAAAAAGAGAAAAGTTATCCATACAATACTATAACAATGTTTGATACTTATGTACAATATATTAAGCATATAGTCAAACGTTTTAAGTTATTATTCAGTAGATGATTAGTCAATTATCCTATTCAAATCGGTTTTCGAGTCTATTTGTGAGTTAATCGATCCTTTCTTAATTCTTATACTTTATTCTGAATTCAATCAATTTTTGATACTTACAAAACGAAAGCTGATTAAAACTTCCGAAACTGCGATTGTATCACTGAGCAAATGTAATAAAGTATGTTTTTCCCAAAATATCAAATCATTGTTAAAGATCTATTTACCATTATTATTGACTATTTTCATTCTACTATATGCGAAACACAACTCAACAATGTTGTCCTTTCCTAGATCTATAAGAAAGTATGGATAGAATTACCAATATCATTTTTCATAGTTTATTGATCTCATTATTTACTGTTAAATGTATTTTCTCTTCAGCTCTTCAAAGGAAAATTCTACTATTGTGAAGGTCCTCTTGCTCATAATGTGCCAACAAGAAAACAATGTGAAATGATGTCTGATCATCAATGGCGAAATCAAGAATATAATTTTGATAATTTGGGTCAAGTATGTTATCAAATAAGCTTTTATCAATAAGATCATATTAATACAATTTTTTATTGTTATTAATTAGGCTTTATTAACATTATTAGCTCTTACATCAAAAGATGATTCGATACCAATAATGTATATGGGTGTTAATACAGTTGAAGTTGACATGCAACCAATAAAATATTATAGCAAAAAAAAATTAATTTATTTTATATCATTTCTATTAGTTTTCGAGTTTTATGGTATTAGTACGTTCGTTGGTATTGTCGTTGAAAATTTTCATAACTATCATATCCAGCAGAAACGTAACGAAGAAACACGAAAACAAAGAAAACCAATTGAACATCAAAAACATCCTGTGAGTGAATTACCATATTATACACATTTTTCACCATGGCGTAAACGTTTGTATGATATATGCGTTAGTAAATATTTTGATTTAATTATTACTGTTATTACTGGTATTTATGTTGTTACAATATCATGTGAATTTTATCTTATGCCAGTTGTAAGAAAAAAAACTCAAAATAATTCATTAAATATCTCTATTGTCAAAATATTTTGTTTTTAGACTTTGGATATATTTCTTAAATATTGTAATTATGTATTTACGATTATATTTTTACTTGAATTTATATTGAAAATTGTTGCACTCGGACCATTACATTATTTTAAAGACAAGTAAGAAAAATTTAACATAGAAATGTTTCTTTATTTTTATTTGATTATGTTTCAAGATGGAATTTGTTAGATTCATTTCTTTTACTTGCATTAATAGCTGATATTATATTAGAAAAAATAATAAGTGGAAATATTCTTCCAATAAGTGCAACACTTATTCGTATGATTAGATTAGTGAGAATTGCACGAGGTAAATGAATACAATAATTCAATAAAAAAAATATCGTCTTTTATAATTTAGTTCTCAAACTACTGAAGATGATCAAAGGTATTCGATCTCTATTAAATAGAGTTAGTGAAGCACTTCCACATGTTGGAAATTTGGTAAATTAAGTTATTCTAGTACTTTGAAAGAGTTTACTTTATTCTTTTTATTTTTTGAAATTAAGGGTCTTCTATTATTTCTTCTATTCTTTATCTTTGCTATATTGGCCGTTGAATTATTTGGAAAATTAGAATGTAGTCAAGAACAACCATGTAGTGGTCTTAGTAAACATGCGAATTTTAAAAATTTTGGTATAGCTCTACTTACATTATTTCGCATAGCAACAGGAGATAATTGGAATGATATTATGAAAGTAAGTAAATGAAAAAAAAACATCATTAGACTTTTTTCTTTGAATCATAAATATTCTCTTTAAGGACACTTTACGCCAAGATGATTTATCTATTACTGAAGAAAATAAGTGGACAGCAATGATTTCACCTATTTATTTTGTTACCTTTGTTACCATGACTCCACTTGTACTTACTAATATGGTTGTCGTTGTACTCTTGAAAAATCTTGAAGTAATTATTTATTGTCTAAGTATAATGATTCAATTCTTTTTTCTTCGTTTTTTTCTTAGAACTCAAATAAGATGACAAATGATGATGCTAAAATCAGTGGAAAAATTGAACTACAGCTTCAAGTTGATCTGCATGATCGAAACAATTTTGAACAATAACTACTGAACCTTAACGCACTTTATGTAGAAGACAAATTAGTATTCAGAAAAGTAATACAATATATATATATATATATACACTCATATATTTAAAAAACTCGAATGATAAACGTCATTGATTGATCATATAAATCACCACACCCCATACCCTCCGTCGCCACAATATAATTGTAATTCCTACAGTTTTTATTATTAGTATTCTACGCGCCATAGGTGTCTACTATTTTCGTTGGCTATTTTGTTTATTATGTAGATCTATATCTTGGTCAAGTTTTGTTTATATTTCTTTGTGTCTTGCACTTTCTCTCCCATACATTAGCCTTGATCTTGCTCCTCTCTAGCGATTCCTATTTCTGTTGTTTTTCTTTATCATACTCTTGGTTTTGAACTACTCCGCGATTGTGTTCACTATGGAATTCTTGATAATCTTCCTGAATGGTACCGTGTTTTTAATAACTATTGTCGTCGTCGCTTCCTTGGTCATGCCCTTTTCAACTCATCATTGTATCTTATTTCAAGAAAGCGATACCGTAACTAAGATGAATGTTCAACAAATCGACCATTAGACTAATGTTGATTTCTTGGCATTGAATTACACCACTTCCGCGTAAATTATCTACCGGCATAAATAATTATGAAAATAGGGTGTGGGTGTGGGTGTGGGTGTGTGGGTGGGTGTGTGTGGCTGGGGTGTGGGTGTGGGGTGTGGGTGGGTGTGTGTGGCTGGGGTGTGGGTGTGGGTGGCTGGGGTGTGGGTGTGAGTGTGGGTGTGGGTGGGTGTGTGTGGCTGGGGTGTGGGTGTGGATGTGTGGGTGTGGGTGTGGGTGTGGGTGTGAGTGTAGTGCATGTGAAGACAATACACCCACCCACACCCCCACTCACACCCACATCCACATCCACACCCACACACCCACCCACCCACACCCACACCCACTCACACCCACACCCCACACCCACACCCACCCACCCACACCCCGGCAGCGCCGCGATGGACATCTCTGATCTATTGTACACTCACATACAGTAGCTATCATTTGCCAATAGCGTTTTGCTTAATCCCTATTATTCACTCATTTATAAAAGAAAAAAGAAATAAACGCTGATTCCGATACCGGAGATGACAACCGTGGTCACGGTGGTTTTCGAGCAGGTATAGGCCGAAAACGAAAGAAAGCAACAAAGCAACAATTTCATCTCGGGTGTGAGTGTGTGTGTGGGTGGCTGTGGGTATGGGTGCGGATGTGGGTGTGGTCTTTATTCAATCCACACCCACATCCCACACCCACCCACACCCTCATTGATTTGGTACATTTCAAGCAATACTTTGAAGAACTATTGATTAGGGTAGTTGACGACACCTTTTGATGTCGTTTTTCGTTACCCACGAGTTGTCATTCACATCTAATAAAAAGAGTTTTAAAACTTGAAAAGTTTATGTCACACTTTTTTTACACATACTTTTTCTTTTAAGCTATTCATATAGCTAATTCGTCGATCTGTCGATCTTATTGCGTCATTAGATAATCCTTAGTATCTTCTAGCAAATGCCCAAATATTATCACAAAATAATAAAAAATCACTCCAGGACAAATGATTTTACAAAAAGTCTCTCACCCTGAATTTGAGACCAAACCACTATAGATATTTCATTTTTGTTAGCGAACTTTTTGAGCATGATTTCGTGAATTTTACGAAAAAGGTTTTTTAAAAAACAAACAAAGGAAAATTCAAAAATTGGGCCTTGTGAGGATCTAGCCCTTAGGGTACTGTACAACTTGAAAACCGTCCGAGCATGTTAGCCCGTATCCTTATTGCGAAATCCTTGCTCGCGTAAAGGATAATGAATTGACTAGAACTTGTGCATTTCTTTGAGATTTGGGGGAGATATTTTAATCATAAGTCATCCTAGTCAAGACTACCATTCTTTGAAATTTTGGTTGAAATCGGATAAAAAATAACAAAGTTTGTTTCTGAGGGAGGGCCCCCTTAACAACCATTCTATTCGACTTTAGTACTCATATCTAGCTAAACCTTCTTTTCTAGTTTCGTTGTGGAAGATCCTATGACAAATGAATCATTAAACAAAATCTCTATTCATGTATATTGTTGGCCTTCAAACCTATACATAGTACTCTAAAGGTAGTCAAATAGCATATGACAAATTGAATATTATTTTAGCCAAAAATATTTTCGAGTATATTGTTCACTCGAACCTAAAGTATAAAGAGAACAAAATGATTGGACATGGTATACTTAGTGTACCGGTCTTGGATGTGGGTGTGTGGGTGTGGGTGTGTGTGTGGGTGGATCTCTTCTTTTCCCACACTCAGTATGCTATGTAAGTATTGAGAAGTCCTCACGGGCTATCTTATAGAAGACCCATAGGTGTTCAAGGATTATCCTACAGAGGTACCCAAAAGTCCTCAAGAGCTATCCTATAGAGGTACTCATAGATCCCCAAGGACTAGGGTATGGGTGTAAATGGTGAGAAAATAAACTCCCACACCCACACCCTCAGAGAAAGATCGATTAAAATCATACACTTTTAATCAATTTTAATCGGAAATAACTGAAAAAGAATCGAGATTTGATTGATTATTTTAATTAAGCCCTCAAAAAAAAACAATCTTTCATCAATTTCGCTTCATCATCTTGTTAATTAAAACGAAGAGGCATGATCTTTTTTCGAGACTTTTTTGACTGAATGAACTTGTAATCCTTTTTTTTCTCTTGAAAAGTAAGAATTAAGAAAAAAAGAATTCCCATAGACAGTGTATCCTGACATACTCTTTCAAATAAAAAAAATTAAATGTATAGATTGAATGTTGACAGCGAATTCTTCAAGATGAAATAAGCTATGTTTAATCCTTTTCTTGACCTTTATTTGGTGGTTATCTCCTTCCAAATTTCAGATGATTTTCATTCATCTAGACTGAGATCGATTTTCGAGAGTAGCCTTAATTTCGATTATAATCAATTAGAACTTAATGAAAGATTTTGTACAATCAATGCAAATTAGAGATAATTAGTTAAAGATTTTTTTCACGATTTTTAAGCAATTGAAATCTTGGTTTTTTCGGATAGTTTTGATTAAAAACATACTTTTTATCAACTTTTAATCGGTATTGATCCGATTTTTTACCCTACTTTTTACGTAAGAAGGATCAAAAAATGTTTAATATAAACCTGGACTCGTAGTCGATTGCTTCCGAATTCGAAAGAGTGCTTAGCTCTCTACAGACATCTGACACATGTTCTATATAGATATTTGACTAGTAGATGAACTTTCCTAGAATTTGAACAGACTGGCCGTATGAAAATACTGATCAAAAGCTAGTTTTACTCGAAAATTTCACAAATACTCAGAAAACCAACAAAAGAAATCAAAAGTAGCATCTGGGTGCCAAGATGTGTCTGACCTCCTCCTCCTCCCACCTGTCCAGAAATGTCCAATTTCAGCTGATCCCCTCCTCCCTCTTTACCTGGACATCTTTTATGAATGGTCCTTGTGGCTCACTTGGGTTCTTTTTAAGAATTCTTTTTACTTCCTCATGCGATAAAATCATACAGTTTAAACTCATTCTTGATCTTCGCCTTAGGACTAAGTGAGTTGGTATTCGATGAATGCTCCATATTGTTGAATCTCAATGGATTGAATCCGCTTGATAGGCGAGTGTCACAGAAACTGAAATATAATATGAAGACGGTGTGTTTGATAGTAATGATGCAAATGAATTGCTATCTGCATATAGGGTATCATTATTGACTATTATTCTAAAAGTATCACTTGCATGCTTTAGTTGTCTAACATATTTCTCTTTTATGCGCTTGGTGATGACATTTTTCTTTTTTGTTGTTTCTGCTACTCATGAACAGCAGGCGAAGATTGTTATTGAATTCATTTAATGGACGATAGTGCATGGTAAATTGTACATAGGCCAGTAGGAATAGTAGAATCAAAGAAAATTGAAAATCCTCATTCTCTTCATCTCTAATGTAACTATTGAAATCTAACATAAGACATCATCAATAGCTGCCACTATGGTTCTGTGTTTCATCATATTGCCATCGGTCGGATTCATGAACTCTTCATCAATACCATTTAAAATTCCTTGTAAAAGAATTATGTAGATATTTCATCATTTTATAAAAGAAAATCATTGAATTATTTATTATTTCTCATAAAATGGGTTTAATGAGCAATAATCGTCTCTTATTCATCTGAATATTCTAAATATTTACATACACCTTTTGCCACGTTGATACTATTGCGTCATGTATGGAGAAAGAAAAAAAGAAAAAGTACAGAATAACATGCTATAATTACTTATATACTATTTCGACAGCCTTTCAGAGAGAAAAGAAAAAAGCAAACACTACGTCATCATGTGAATATTTTTTGATTTTTTGCAACATCTAGTATCAGCACATGTCTTCTTCAAATTAAAAACGATGATATCTTTAAAAAAATCTAAACCTACAGCGATAGGT